ACTGTGCTTCTTTGAAACTTGGAGCTCTTGCAGAGGTTTTAAACTGTCCATTTCTGAAAAATCTGAGCAATATAAGAAAGCTTAAACCATAACAGAGGACTGATGTTTAAATTCAGGTATGTTAAACTACTGCGTTTAGATTTAAATCTGTAAGCAGGAAACTTTGTTTTCCATACTCTAGTTGTTTGTTAAATACTGTTGATAATACAGGGTCAGTATTATCAGCCAATGAATAAACAGATTGTTTCTGATTGCCATGTCTTTAAGGATTTTAGAGTTTGTAGCTCTCAGTCTCTCATCTTATATACCTTTCAGCTTGGGATGGCATTTTTAACTTCTGATCACTTTCTCAGCTTTTTATGATCTGTGTATTAAATTAAACTAGTTGGAGGAAATAAATGGAGGAAACAATCTTCTGTGAAAGATGTACTCTTTCAGTAAATTCTGGTTCTGGTACTTTGTTCTGAGAATTTACTTAATGCTTTGACTGTGATAGCTGATTCCTGCTGTTTGGACACTTGCTTTAAATTACTTGTAAATGATAAATTGCCTGTTGAAATGGTGCATTAAAATAAGTGGTCTGTATTGTGCTAGGCATAAAAATGAAGATGCAGATGTCTACACATAGGTGTGTATACAGGCTCAGAAGTCTTGGCTGCTGTAGCTGGTGGTTGGAAGGCACAAGAGTCATATTGAGTTATGCCAGACAGGAGCTTGGCAGTGTAAAGCTGTGTTACCAAAGAGACTTTCCTGCAATTCTCCTGCAGGACTGTGATAGAAAGCCGGGATTTCTTGTTGCAAGATGAAGATCAGAATTAGCTGTGCACAGACTACTAAGCATCTGTTGTGGTGGCTCTAAACTAGGAGGACCTCAGTTTTGTAGAGCTAAAAACATGCCTGCTGTTACTATTTCTGTTGTAAAAGCACCTGAATATTCCCCATAAGGGTTCTTGGGGGATGTATGAAACCCAGAGGTGTGACTCCTTAGGGACAGTCTGCGTGTATTTCTCTGGGGACTCCAGTGGGGGAAAGACTTAACGCTGGAGTTGATGGTAGTGATTTGGGTATACCTGTACTGTGCACTCGTGTATCTTTCCCTACCTGAGCCAGAGCAGGAATGAACATGACTCTGAGGGACAGACCCTTTTCTGGGACTTGCTGTTGTCTCTCAAGATCTGTATCTTTTGCCTGCTTGCTCAGCAGAGCTGGTGCGGTTCAAGTATCACTGTTCTAATCCTCTGTGTAGCTCTCTGGTGTGAGGCTCTCAGGTGCTCCTTGTTGAGGGATGTGTACAGGCAACTGAGATGAGTGACTTTTGAGAGAGGAGCTCTGCTGATCTTGAGGTTTGGGGGGGTCTAAATCTCAAGAAATGTTCTCCAATGGGAAATGCTTGTTGAGATTATGTCTTGAAGAAGTCTGGTTTGGTGGTGGCATCATGGCTTGATGGCTTATGATGAGCAGCAGCTCATCATAATGAGCTTATGAAGAGCAGCAGCTCTTCTGGTACCTTGGGTCTGTCCTCTGCATGTGTCTTCTGGGGATTTCTGCTCTTAAAGACACAGACTGACTTTTGCAGCCTTCTGAAAAAGATATGGGGTTGTAAATAGAGTGGTTTGATAGACCAGTTGAGGTGGATATTGCTGTGACCAGACAGGCTGTCCCTGTCCTGCCCAGCTGTGAATGTGTGGCTGGGAAGGAGTGCATTGTTTGGCCATCAGGGGGTTGCTGCCCATCTGGGACCATGCTGGGCACCGCTTGCTGCTGAGGTGGGTGGTTTCACAGCAGGCTAAAGCTGAGTGCTCAAGGAGGACATGTGGGGTCCTGGTTGACTTGCTGCAGAAACCCCAGTCACAAGGTGATGGAGACAGGGATGTGGAAAGTAAAGCCAGGAAGATGCGGTTCAACTAGCCAAGTCTGCCAGGCCCTGTAACTGATCTTGTAAATGTTCTGTGAGTTGAACCTGGTGAAAGACAAGCCTAAGCCAAGATCTTGTAAACATGGTTTGAGTCCCAAGAATTGCTGTCTTACCTGGAGGTCCTGGCGTTGATGTTGTGAGTTGAATTGAAATGGTGTTGGAACCAGAGGGGAATGTTTTTGTCTTCTGCCTTTGCAGATAAGACTGAAGGGCATTTTGCCAGGAGCCTTAAGGATCTAAATTGTATATAACTCTACATCAATTTAAAATGAAAAGTAAACATGCACAACCATAATATTTGCTTGTACTTGTCTCCTCTTTGACGAATGGAGAGAAATTGTTCTTTGGCTGAGTTCACCAGCAATAAAACCCCACAGTTACTCATCTTTATCCCAAGCTTGCAGTGAACAGGAGAGGCCATTGTAATCTCTGGTTGAATTTGTCCTTATCACACCTGAGGGAAGCATTGATGTGTGGGAACTTTTATACCTGCCCAGCCCTGTGAGGAATCAGGGCTAGGTGCTATCACAGGAACCATGGGACTGAGCTGGGAAAGTGCTGCCTGGGTCAGGGTGGACCTCATTCTGCTCATACAGTGTTGGTGCAAAGGAGATCTACCACTGCTTGGGAGATGTGAGAGCCCTCCTTCTGTCCTGGCTACTGTAGCATCAGGCATGGTGTGGGGGGCAAGTGATGCTGGCAGGGGCAGGAAGCCGCCATCTCAGGGTGTGACAAAGAGGAGGGATCTGGACTGTGAGCTGAGCCACCAGCATTCTTCTGCATTTTGCTGCATGTTGGTTCTGTGGGCTCACATACATGCTCATGAGCAGCCCAGGCGCAGTATACACAAGTTTGAACTGACCCATTTCCATCATTACAGCAGCAAACAGCAGTTACTTTCTCTGCTTAGTGGTGATGGCAAGGCAAGCCTGTGCCTGTCATGAGCAGAGATAGGGCTGTCAGAGTGACCAGGAAGTGGCTGGGACGGGATGCTAGCCGTGGGCCAGCAGGGGCAGGAAGGAGTGTGTGATCCAGATGCTGCCTATCTCGGTAGCATGCCATGCGCAAAGACAGCGGTTGCATGGCGTGACTGTCCCCTCTGCTCTACCTTCATCTTCTGCAGAGGGGAAAAACAACACCAAGTCAGTCACTTCAGGAAAGGGTCATGCCTGCTTTGCAGCTACAGAAAAGAGTGTGACAGTCCCCAATGGAAATAGGGCAGAGTTCCTCAGAGAAAAGGCTATGCTGAAGTGTAGTGCTGGTGAACTGGATTGTGGTGTAGTGGTAAACCCGCAAAATGAATTAAACGATGCCTCCTAGCTCCCTCTCTGTGCCCAAGGTCAGAGATGAGCAATGGATTCACCGTGCTCTCTTGTTTTAAGCCTCATTTTACATTTCCTTTTATTTCTTCATTCTCAGGGGCTTTAAGATCAGTAAAGGAGGGATGGGCTTGATGAAATGCAAGTTGTTGGCTGGGCTGTGATATCTGGTGCTGGTTGTTGGCCCAGATTGAGGTGGTGATGCTTGCTTTTGGTGAGTGCAAGGACTTCAGGAGTATGGAGGCTTCTGTATAAGAAAGTTGGAGAGGAAAATGCTGCAGTGCCCAGAAGCTGTGTGGGTTAAACTGCAAGTTCTGGAGACAAGCCGTCAGGAGGCCCATCCAGTGTGCATCACATGGGTATCTCTCTCTTTGCAGGGCTGGGAAAGAAACCCATCGTCGTGACTCCTGTGGAGCCCTGCATGTCTCCAAAAGCCCTGCTCTGAGTTCATCCCACCAGCAAGGCGTGAGAACCGGTACGTAAATGTGTTTCACAGGTGTGAGGGGCAACTTCCCAGAAGGATCTGTGGCTTTTCTGGTGGTGGCACCTTGTTCATGGTTCTCTGCCAAAATGAAAAGTCCTCTCCTAAGTGAGGGTGGAGGGGTCTGGGTGGATTGGGATCACTGGAAAATACAAGACAAACTGGTGGTTCTTGGGTGATGCTTGCACCTACAGGCTTTGTTGGGGGATAGCTGAGCAGCGAGAAGCTGCAAGTCTTCAGAAGTCACCCCAGACTGTGGTGCTGAGGCTTTAGACATGCTCTGTCGAGTGATGTGTGGTACCACACATGGATAGGTGATCTGGGGAGTAATCACATGCACATACACACATTTTATATATATATACACACACACGCTGTACAAATCTAGGCACATGGAAACAAAGATGTGCATATACAGTATATATTATATGGTGGCATATGAGAGCTTGGGGGTGTATATACCAAATGTCTGTATATACTATATATGGCGATAAAAGAATGCATATGCATTCATTTTCTCTTTTTTTCTTTTTCTTTTTTTTTTCTTTTTCTGTCTCTTCTGTATTGCTGAGGAGCTGTTGCAAAACTACCAGATTCAACCTCCTGGGGAGCCTTTCTGGCCAAGATTTTGCAAGCCAGCACCTGCTTTGCCTGCCTGACTTCTTTCTATATTTATTTCTCTGCACCCGGTTTTTGTCTTTGCCTGCAAATTGGAACTGTCACAAACATTTGTGCTAACTTTTGGCTGCATAGGACTTCAGCTTGCAAGTCCCAAGTCTGCTCCTGTGTACACCGGGGGAGGAGGCATATGTGTGTGTAGTTGTGCATGCGTGCATATGAGCATCCCTGGTCCTCACTGTCTGCATTACATGGTCTGTGTTCCTGTGATACTGCAGCAGTCTCTCTATTCTGTATGCCATGCAGGTAGTGCTTTCTGCCCCTTCAAGACATTTTTATGAATCAAATATTCTCAGTCACCCTGCTTATATAATGTCATTTAAGTGGAATTAGCCAAGCCTGAGCTGGTGCCTGATTGATGACAATCTGTAGTGCTCTGCAGGAGGCTTGACTAGGATTCCTAGGCCCCCAAGTTTTTACATTCCCAGGTGAGGACTGTGGCAAGGACAGGGACTTGTCGTGCCATGTAGCAGGGAGCTCCTGATTAGGCTGCATGTGGCTGGACACGGGTGTGTCCATCCCTCTGGTTTCTTTCCTCTGTGTCATTTGGGGTAGAAGGTGCTCTAAACGAGAGGCATTGAATGCCAGGTCATGCTTAGCCGTATAATGGCATTTCAGCTTGGAAACTGAGGGGAGATCTTAATGCTTTCTTGGGGAACATGAAGCTGGGGAAATAGCTGTGTTAAGGGTCTCCCATCACCAAATGCTGCTCAGAGGAGACACATGCTTCCCTGCCTGATGGGTACAACTTGCACTTATTCAAAAGCAGTGCTGGGCTGTCTGCCAGGAGCTAAGAAATGGCTTGTCCTCATGTGCTCAGGCCCCTGAGCTCCCAGCCGCTCTAGCAACTACATTAGTTTCTGGCACAGGAGTCCCTCTAAGGTTACAAAGACATTATTCCCAGGTTTCAACCCCAAGAGCTGTAAAACGTATCCTGCCTGACCCCTGTGCAAAGGCAGAAGCATCGAGATCCGCACACGTTCCGCTGGGTTTAGTTTTCACATCCCCACTGCATATGCCACTGCAGCCTGCATTCCTCTCCTGTTTGGTAAGCCCTTTGCCTCTCAAGCTGACACAGCTAATATTTCCCATGCTGGCAGGGCAGGCAAGGTAGTGGCATTTAACTGTTAAGGAGAAGCTTGATCTGTTCATACTGCAGAACCTCAGAGTAGTAAGGGCTGGTGCATGCCTAGGATTGGGTTTCTGCTGTTCTAGGTGTTTGTCCTCCATGTTTTAGTTCCCTCCCTTGACTTGCATTATTCCCTGTGTCATCCCGCTGTTTGTCCTTGCAAATTACCAAGCAATACCTTGGTAATTTTTTTCTGCAAGGGGCTGGAAAGCTGTGTCGGAGTTTGTAAAACCTGCACCTACCTGACCCTTCTTACCTTGGTTTTGGAGCATCTTCTGCCAGGGTGACTACAGTGCTTAGAATATCTCCCATTTCTGACCACAGAGAATGCTTCTGGTAGCCCTGCAGGCAGTTTGGGGTACATGGCTCCGAGGGAGGTTTTAGTGGGTTTTTAGAAAAATAACTGATTAACTGCCCGCTGAGAGCTGGTCCCAGCCTCCATTGCATTGATGTTGTCCTGGTGTACCACTTAGTGCCACCTGGGCTGTTTGCTCTTTAAAGCTTTTATAACCACCTTTATAACTGTCAGTGCAATGGACATGTGCTGGTGCTTCCTGGCAGGGTTTGTTTTTTACAGTGATAATGATGGATCACAAAGTTAAATGTGGTTCTTACTCTAAAAAGCATAAAAGTGTGGGGGTTTTGTTTGTTTATATTTGGTGGGTTATTTTCTTCTTCTAAAGCAAGCATTTACATGTTTTTCTATCACCTGTGATACTCGGTGCTAAACTGATGCTGCCATGGGCCGCTGACCTCTGCGTAGTCACTGGATGTAATTGTACAGCCTCTATCACTGCAGGATTTTGGCTCCTCCCAAAGCCTGTGCTTCAGTACCAGCGAAAGCCAGATGTACTATAATGTTGCTTTTTTACAGTTTGTTTTGGCCATACATGGGCAGAGTCAGCTCTGGAATTCCTTCCCTATAAATTCAATAGCATCTTGTGGGTGGTGCTGGGGAATCACTCTGGTCTGGTTGGATCACCACAGCAGCCTGTTCCCCTTGAAAATGTCCTGATTTGCACATTCCTGAGAGGCTGCCTGCTCCTGGAGCCATGGCTTCAGCTACGAGGAGGCTGTCATCCCATGCTGGCAGGCATAGCAGTCACCTTCCTGCTGCCTGCAGGTCGGGAGTGGTGGCATAGATATACTGCTTCTGTGTGCAGGCAGGCTCTGCAGGGACAGTTGTGCCCTCTGAGCTTAACTGTTCTGCCTCCTAAATTTCCCGTATGGGCTTAAGCATCGACCATCAAGCCCCTCTCCTAGGGATGGGGAGGCTGAGTGCTCTCCTGTTCCTGCCTGCCATGGGATGCTGTGTTGTGTGTCCCAGCAGAGATCGAGGACCTCTCCAGTGGCACTGACGGCTGAGCCTTGCCCTCTCTGCTGCCAAGCTGGTATCATGATAAACACAGCCTGAATTTGCCTGTGTGCCTTCAAAGGGTACTCCAAAAAATAGTTCTAGGAGGTTTTCTGTGGATGAGTGAGGGATGAAAGGATGGTTTGTGGTGGGCAAGGGGTGATATCTCCTGGAGCTGCCCCTGTTGCATGTCACCAGGCATCCCATGGATGAGACAGAGATGCAGTGTCACCCATAGATCCAGGAGCCTCCAAAGCACAGGTGAAGAAGGTGACATGTAGTCCCATGTCCAGGCTGTGTGTAGGTCAGTAACAGCGATGTGCTCAGCTCAGGCTCCAGAGGGGCAAGTCCTCCCTGTGCCAAAGCTAGGGAGAGAAGGATGATTTTTTTTGACATCCTTTGGAGTTTTGATCTCCATATTTGGAAATGTTTACCCATTGCTCTGATCTATTGCAAGGGAGGGGAGGTGACTCAGGGTCTGGTGGAAGCAGGATTTGAATTCCTGTAGTAAGGTTCTCCCCCCCCATACCCCCCCGCCCTTTCTTGTTTTGGAAGCTTGTTGTGGTCAGTTCTTAGTTCTCTCCTGCTCCTGGACCTTGTTCCAAATTTGATCTGCTCAGGAGGGAAGTGTGTTAGCGAAGGAGCTTGCCTGGATGCTGGTAAGTGCATCATTGCTGCTTTAGCAAGCAGCTTGGGATTTTTTGTTTTGTTTAGTCAGATGGATTGCATTGAAGTGTGTGCATTGAGGGTGGAGGTAGGCATGTGAATCTCCAGTCAACATCAAGGGACCCTATGAAACCTTCTGTAGCAGGGAAAGTTGGTTTAGTGGATTGATCTCAAAGGCAAAATGTTTCTTCAGGCCTAGGTGTAAAGATAATTTAAGCCAGCTCTCATTCAGTCATGCTCTTTCTTTTATTTTCAGTGGTTTATGCAGCAAGGCAGCAGAGCAGTGTAGAGTTAAATGAGTATATATGCGTATGGTCAGCAAGTGAAATATAGGTTAAATATGGCTTCTGTCTCTTAAGTGTGTGTTGAAAAGGCTGCATAATGCATAGATATATTTCTCTCAAATGTTAATATTTAACTGTTTTGTTAGGGACCTGAAGCAGTTTAGCTGCTGTAACTGGATGAAGGTTCAGTGTCTGTTTTTTCCTGTTACTCGTTATTTTTCCTTAGTGTGAAGTTTTTAATCTCTCTGGTATTGCAGCTGGCTGCTTCTCTTATTCCCCCCCCCCCCTCCTTTCCTTTCTTTTTCCTGAAAGGAAACTGCAGCTTATCCAGGCAGTCAGGGGTGTCGGGGGAACCTGGAAGATTCTCTGCTTCCTGTTTTATTCATGGCAGCTAAAACCAGACTGGGGAATCTGGAGTGGAGATCCACCATCCCACATTCCTCTTGTCATTTGGAGCATGTAACATGTAGAGTGCTTTTAACACTGCTCAAGGGGGTGCATAGCAGCCAGTCCTGTGGCTCGGACAGAAAGTACTGCACTTTGTCCTTTTACTTGGGAAGGGGTGTTGATGAAAAACCCTTTATAGTTCCTATTGCTGGTTAGTGATACTTGTATCTTCTCAACTAACTTGTATTTTTAGTCTGATTCAAACCTGTTGTTATCATACTCTCCTTGTTTTAAATTTAAGACCTTTGTTAGTTAAATCTTTTGTTGTTTTTCTTTTGCCCTTTTAAATAGGGATTAATACTTGGTTTGAGGTTTGATTTTCCAGAGATGTGAATTTGCAGCAGCTCCTTGAGGAGCAAAACTGGCTTAATTGTTCTGGGCAGGGATAGATACTTGTCTTAGTTTGCACAAGGATGGGGTGTGAGCTGAAAAGTACTGGGCCCCAAAAGATGATGAAGGGACTGCTGGAGCCTGTTCCTGCAGGTGGGACATGTTGGGAGCTTGTAGGCTTTAGCTGCGTTTTAATCCTTGCCGTTTCAACAAGCTACTCAGATTACTGCAGCTTTTGGGATCAGGGCCCCACTGGAATGGGCTTGATACTGGCACAAAGGAAAGAGCTGCTGTCCTAAAGAGTATATGGCCTGAACAGACAGTGAAGGTGATGGGCTGGAAAACAGGATGCTGGGGAGACATACGGAGATGTTGCAACACCTGAAGCCTCAGCCCAGCGACTTGCCAGGGAGCAGCCCATTCTGTGTCATGTGTGGTGGTGCCAAGCTGTAACAGGCAGTGAGCTGGCAATCTGTGTCACTCCTTGTGTGCTGAGCTTTGCTTTTGTGTGTGTACACATGGCCCCACAGGACGGCGATACCTTGTCCTTGCGCAGCACTTCCCGTGCTTGGTTGAGCCCTGGATCAGCCCCTGCTTCTGGTGGTGCATGGATGTGGTGCATCCAGGCTTCGCCAGCTGCTTGTGGCTAGCTTGGTGTTTCGGAGGCAGCATGGTGGGACTGGAAATGGTGATGTTCTGTTCCCCTTTCAGTTATCCCTCTTTCCTGCCTGCCATGACAGACTGTTGGAAGACAAGGATGAGCAGTGCCTGAGTGCTGTAACACAGGGCTCTGGGCAGTGCTCATCTGGCATGCCTGGGGAAACACACTGGGGCCATTAATCTTCATGTGCCGGTCTTTCTCTGTGCAACATCTCATTGCTGCAAGGACGTGACTTGAGAGCTGAATGGACTGTGAAGGATGAGCTCCCACGTGCTGCCTATGTGTCCCCTCAATGGGTGCAGGCAGGGCTGGGAGGGCTGTTGGAGGATGGAGGATGTCCATGGCTGGGACTGCAGGCTGCCAAGGCTTTCCATCTGGTATTTCTCGAGGACCTGGGCAGATCCAGTGATGATCACTGATGCTAACCAGGGTTCACAGTGTATTTTTCTTCTGCTCCAGGAACACAGCCATTAAGGGCTGACCTGTAAATTAATACAGCTATCTAAAGATTTTCCCTCCTGCAGCCTGGCACCTGGTAAATGCACAAGTCTGAGAAACCTTCCATGGCACTGGACCTCAAGTGTGCTCCGTGCCTTCCTTTTTTAAGCTACTCTTAATTACTTCTAATGATGTATTAAATATAGAGGATTTGCTTTAGCTTCCATGTATGGAGGATTGGTTCTCAGCCCATCCTTCATCCCAGCTGTTGCACCAATTGATCCAAGGCTGGCACTGTACGGGATGTGGCAAATTGGTGGCACTGTCACTGTGTGTCTCTGATGCTTTCAGGAATTCACTTGAGGGCTGGGTGTACATGCCCTGCAGCCTGTAAGAGAAGCTGCTGCAGATATGTGCAGCGCACAGAGGCATGGAAGGGATGAAGGCGAGACAAGGTTGTGAGCTTAGATGGCTCTAGACATCTGATACTTCCTATTTCTGTAGGCAAAGCTTTCAGACCCTTTAAACACTAAACCGTGCCCACAGGCTGGGGAAAGCTTTATTATCCTGGTGTGCAGGCGTGGAAACTGAGGCACCATGTGGCAAACTTGGGAAAAGTGCAAATCTTTTGGTTCCATACGACTGTTCATGCTCAGCTCCCACAGACAGGTGCGCACTTCACAGCCTCAAGCCAAGTGGTGCTGTTAAACCCATCTCTCTTACTCTAATAAAGTCATACTTTTCTGAACACAAAATATTTCTGAGTCTGTTGCTTAAAGGAAAACAAAGTTGTATTGGGTATTTCATAAAGTTGATAGATGTTGCTAGTGTGTGACATGATCCCAACATGTATCACCATCCTTTCCAGATGGTACCTCACCTAATTGTACTGCTGCTTCTTCCTCGGATCTGAATAGAGTGTAGGCTTTTAAGACAGGTCTGTTGTTATTAGCTTTATAATACACATTCTCCTGTACCAGCTGTTGCAAGCAGCAGGAGGTCTCACTTGCAGACTAATTCTTCAGTCAACTTACGGGGGAGTTTGCCCCTGAGAACTAGGTATTTGCATTTGGGATGAGATCTCCCAAATGAGAGAAACTTGTTTGTCTCCAGTGAGTGTGTCGGTTCAAGGACTAGCGTGCCCAGGAGGAGGAAAGAAGTTGCTCTTGTTTCTTTACTGCTGTCTTCTAATAGTTAACTGTGCTTATTGCTTGACTTCGTTTTGAAGAAACATCAGCTTTTGAAAGCCGGGCTGCCTGTGGCTGGGAGGAAAGAGTCCTTGTGCTGTGCTGTCTCACACCCCTGCTGTGAAAAATACCACAAGGACAAGTTCCAGTGAAGCTGCCTGATTTTGGCAGTCACTTCCCTCCTACATCCTTGTTCTTCAGGTAAATCCCTTTCCAACTCCATTAGTTGTTCCCCTTTCCTCCCCAAAAAGTCATTACCATCCCTTGAAATTAAGGAAAAGACAGGAGGAGAGAATAAATGGATGTTAAGAAGTAGAAAACAATCAATTAAATAGTACATAGCATGTAATTTTCCTTGGAAACTTACCATGAAATTGAGGGGCACTTTAGCAACTAGTAATTTAAATTGCATTTGAACACTGCTAATGGGTTGTTTGCATGGGAATTTTGGTCATTTCACAGCAGGTCGTTGTCTTTAGTACCCCTTCATTCAGTTAAAAAAAAAATTAAAAAAAGGTCTCGTAATGAGGAAGATGCTGTAGACAATTGGTCCAACTGTTGCTGGTAAAAGGTGGTACTGTGGAAAATTTGCAAGGTCCTGTTACAATCTAAGCCATTTACATCCTTAGCATTATCTCTTCCAGTGCTAAATTCTTGGGAGTTGGGCTCTTTTTACCTAAAAAAGCTTGTTATTGCTAAAAGGCAGGAAAATAACATTATCCCTGTCATACTCATGAACACGATGGAGGCAGGGTGGTTGGGGTTTGTAGCAGTGGGACTGACCTGGAACACAGCCTGTGGCTTGTGTCTCTGTCACCTCGAATGATTCATAACAATGCTTTGGGATCTCTGTCTCACTCCAGCTGAAGAGGAACAACGGAGAGGTGTTGATCAGCTGAAGCTGCAGGGTATTTTTACTTGTTTTCCCAGTGTTTAATGCTCTCCTCCACCACTGTTTTTCTTAGAAAATGCCAATGATTTTCGGCAAAAGGCAGTATCAGCCTAATTGTGTGCTATTTTGCTGCCGGTTATGCTGGGAACAGACTCTATAGGAAGGCAGACGCAAGTTACTTGTTGCCTGTTGCTGAATGAACATCCCATTTTCAGAGCAGGGTTTTTGCAAATCCGTGGGCATGCTTAGCATATGGAAGGGGGTTCCAGTATCAAAACAAATCTGGCCTTCTGTTTCTGGATGTGTAGGTTGTTTCTTAGAAGATGGAACCTTTAAAATCTGTCCCTGCAAACATGGCTGTTACATCCTGCTATTTCTAGAGACATGAGGCAGCTGTCAGCACTGAGATAAGCTATAAAAAGGCACTATTTTCCAAAAATGGCTTTTTTAGCTATACCTGCCAGACAGCTTGGCCAGCAGGAGTTCACCAGGAGTGTCACCACTGCTGCCCTTTTATGCACAGGGTGCTAAGCAATGTAAAAACTTCTGGGCAACTCTCCAGGGGCAGCGTTAAGCACCAGCTCTTCAATCTCTATCTTGTGAAATGCTGCTATGCAGAAAAGTGCATTCAGTGTGTAGGAGGGGATACTTGTTGGTTTGATTGGTCTTACCCGATCTCCTGTTGTTTTCTAGGCGATTGCTTTATCCTCAACTTTTGTTCTGGATTTTCATTGTGCCTGTCTTGTTTCTGACT